TGTTGAATTTCAGCCAGCCTACCGGAGAATTTGAGATTTTTCCTCCCTCCCCCATTTCTTCTGTTTTTGTTCAGTGTAAACAGTTCCTGCCGTAGTAACATAGACAAATATAGCAGAGAATGCTTTTCTGGAAGAAGAATGCTCCCTAAGCATTTTTTAACCATTTTTGGGAAGAATTGATCTTTCTGTGTATTTCAGAGAAACTGAAAGAGAGGGAGGCCATTGCTGTAAAGTGAAGTGACATCATATGTATTGCCCCCATTGATCCGCTTTTAGTCTCCAGCCAGGATAAAAGGAAATGGCATCAGGGAGGAAGCATGCTTCATTTAGGCACAGATCCCAGAGTGATAATGGGGTAATAATAGAACTCACGCCACTGTCATTGGGAGGCCGCATTAGTCCCAGGCTCACTCCCCGTCTGGAAGCCTCTCTGAGACTTCCTTCGTGTGCGGCTGCAGCTCGCCAGCTGGGCTGCGAGGGGAGGTGCCCGCCTTCGCTTTTGGAGGGGTGCAGCCGTTGACATGGACATTTCTGTGCCTCGGGTTCTTGTGTTGGTCCCGCCTGTGGAAGGTCAGTAGTGAGATGCATTTGGGAACAGTATCTGATTGAGGCTAGCTGGCCTTTTCAGAGTCCTGCTTGTGGAAGAAGTGGTGGAGGGGCCTCGGTTGTGTGGGTGGTCTTCAGGGAGCCAGGAGTGAGTGATGCTCCCGTGACAGCAGCAAGAGGCTGCGAGGCTTCGGAAAGAGTCAGGGTTTCTTTTCTTTGTGCTCCTTGTAGACTTGGAGGGTGGATTTGGAAAATCCATGTTTTCTTTCCAAGAGCCTGCGTAGAAACCCTTTAGAACTGTTCAGACTTGTGCGGCTTGCCTCAACCCTTAGGTTGACTGGGAAAAATTACAAGGTAGACTTTTCTTCTCTCTTTGTGCATTTCTGGGTAATTAGCGGTCATGGAATCCTCCATGTTTAGAGCAAGAATACAGACTTCTAAAATTCTTAACAAATCTCATTGTATTGATTTTACCTTCTTTGGTGTTTTATTTTCTGTGTTCGAGTTAAGTTTGCTAATGATGTAAAGTTCTCTATTTCAAGTACCCACATGACTTTGGCACCCCATACCTATTTTGTCTGAATTTCTGAGGCAGATGCATTTTAAAAATACCAAGCTAGTTTCCATATGGAAAAAATAATAACCTCGTCATGAGTTCCTTGTTTGTGCAAAGAAAAGAACTTTCTATTCCTATCACTGTTGAACTGTGGGTGTGAGCACTAATACTAGACCCTCAGAAATAAAGGCAGGTTCTTTCTGTCATGTTAGAAGGGGCTGCTTTCTCAGGAGATAATGCGCTAAAGTGAGCACTTTATTTTTCTTAATCACTCCATGGTGTGACTAGAGCCATGTCTGTCTCCACCCCACTCTGTACTGCTGTATTAAACACAGTCGGCCTAGAAGTCATGTGAAATTTAATTTGATTTCTACGTGGGTGGGAGTGGAGTGACCCACACAGCCTTTCCGAGTGCTGCTGTGCCAGCCGCTGGGGCGAGTGGCACCCTGCCCTGCTTCTGAGCGCGACTGCTCGTGGGTAATATCTCTCAGTTGCTTTGCAAACATTTTAGTTTATTACTTAGTTCTTCTTTTTCATTATAGGGTGGCTTTATAGCGAGTAAATGTTTATTTTACAAAGAGAAATGTGCTGTATTAAAGTGAGCAACTTACCACATTTTTGCTTTAATATCCTCTTTTCCATCTTTAATCTTACGTGAAAATTATATAATGTTTACTCACTCATTTGTGAGTGAAGGATACTGAATTAGTTTTGTTTTCTGTGTACTGAAATAGCATTTGATCACTGATTTGAAATACACCCCCCGCCCCATTAGAAGAGTTACAGTTGAAAGCCAGATGGCTACAGGTTGTTTACTGAAAGTCATTTGCACAAGTCCGTTCTGAAGAATTCTGCACATTATGGAGGAATGTTCTCATTCTCTGTGGGTCCTTGGTGCCTCTGCCTGTCTCTGAACAAGCCAGTTCTTGCATCAGTCATGGGATGCCTTCGTGAAGGAGGAGGGAGAGCTGGTGGGGTGTGTGCATGCCTGCTCCTTACCTTTCTCCAATTAAAGTAAATTAAACTTAACAAATAACCGCCAAGGCTTGACTCCCCTCCCTTCCATCTTGGCTGCCCATCTTAAGTCAGGGGGCTTGGTCTTAAGTATTTTTCCATTGTGTAAAATTAGGAGAGGACAAAAACTTGCAGTGATCCTCTGGGTTCTGTTTCTCTGTGCAGGTATGTATGAACTTTTGTTTAGAAGGAAACTGTAAGAGAGGTATAAGTGTGAATCCAGATATTTTGATAGGATCACATATTAGTAACTCTGACTTTGAACTGGAGTTGATTGGTTAAATCCAGTTAGGGTAAGTTGAAGACCAAACTGGTCATCTTACCCAGGGTTTCTTTCCTCCCTGGGTCTCTGTAGTCTAAACCAAATCCTCAACTGACAATAGGCCTCTTTGTAAGCTCAGGCATATAATAGGGAGATGCTTTTCTTTCTACTCCTTCCTTCTCTGTAATTCCGCAAATTGGCTGGGCTTGTTCCTGCTGTGTTTAGTTAGTGACTGAGGCCCCCACCCCCAGGTGATGGGTGTTCTGTGCTGTCTCAGGCTGGGCCTTTCCCCGGAAGCTGTCTTCTTGCGTAGCTGTGGCTACCCTGAATTGGCTGCCTGTGGAAGCACTGCTGATCAGTTTTGAGGGTGCCCATGGGGGTGCAGAGCTGGCCAGCGTTCCGACCCGATCTGGGGACGCCCCCACCGTGCCCCTGTACAGGCAGGTGGGCTGCTGCTGGACGGGCGCCAGCCAGGCCACTGTGGGTGGGGCTGGGGGTCGTGGAGCCCGCCTTGGAAAGGGATGTAGCCGTGGGGTGGGGACAGACCATTTTGAGGAGAAAGAACAGACAGGAGTGCCGGCAGGAGTGCCTTCAGGGAGTGGCCTTAAGGGGGAATGAGGGTTATACTCAGGGCTGGGGCTGACGGTTTAGCCTCCACCAGAGGATAGCCCCTCTTGGAAGGTCCAGAAAGGGAGACTGCAGGGAGAGGGATGGGAAAGGGTGAGGGAACCTGGGTGCCGGGCGCGCACGGAGTCTCAGCTCTGCTTCCTGGTCAGGAATGCCAGAGGCTGGGTGAGACGCCTCCCTCTGCCCAGGGCCGTGAGGGCCCGATTGCCGAGTGCTCACGGTGTAAGTGGTGTAAATGGTATGGATGCTCCCAGAAGCTGTGGTTCTGTACTTGGTCTGTTTTATAAAACAGCAGATTTAATAACAAGATAGTAAAAGTAGCCTCGTGTCTGAAACTGTAGAAAATGGAAAACTGGCTCTTTGGTATTCGTCATTATGTTGTAAATTGATATCTTTAAAGCATCTTACAAACACAATAGTTTCAATGGAAGGAAATTAGTGTTCTTATGTATAACCTTACAGGGTCAGTGCTGAGTTGTAACCCTGTTTTTGCTGAAGTACCTTTCTTCTGTCAGGCTGAGAGAGGATCCACCCTTGACTCTTCAGCGGATGGAGTGATGTTATGAAATGAAAATGCCCAAGAATCAAGTGTTGTGCCTTTGTGTCCCTCTGTCTAGAGGGAAGTGGGGGTTTTATTAGACCTTAGAAAAGTGAGGTGAGAAAATAATAGGAAATGCTTTCTTTGTGGAATTACGTGGTAAATGGCATGTATGCGGTCTCTACTGGGTTTTCCTACAAGCACGTTTTGGAAAAGTGTGTGTGTGAATGGAGGTGGGAGGCAGAGGCGGAGTGCACACTTGGGGGCTGAAAGGTAAAGAGAGGATGGGGCAGAAACCAATAATTTTTAAAATTTCTTCTAGAGAACAAAATAGAGATTAAAATCCAGGTGTTCTTGTGAATATTCTGTTGCTATAGTATTGACTTTCAGAACTGTACATTTGGGTTAGTTGACAGGGATTGTCTGGGCATAGGCGGGAATGGAGAAAAGCTAAATGTCGAGAATAGTGGAATTCATGGTAATTCTTTTAAAACCTTGATTTTAGAATAAGTATTTTTTGGTTCCTACAACATGCATCTTAAATTGATTTTTTTTTTCTTTTGTCAATAGTTTCAGTTCTGCTGTGTGCTAGAGGCTGGTCTAGGAACTGTGGTAGAGTCAATAAGACAGATATGTTCTTAGATTTCACAAGTATTGTTTCTTCACAGATTAGTTTGTGTTATTTTTGAACTATTAATATATAAAAACATCTTCCTCTTTTTGCCTTTAAATGGTAATGCCATTTTTACTTACCCTGTATGAAAACTGAGGAATTGGGGTGGGTGGGTGTATGTATGTATATAATCATACATAGCAACCTTTTTTTTAATGGAATAGTAAACTTAAAGTTTTTATAATGGATTATGAGACATGGCTCTAGTTTCATTGCATGCTCTTTATTTCTTGGTGTACATTTGCAAGATTTATGTGCTAAAGAAGGAAATAGAAAAGTTTCTTCTTATTTCTGTTAAACTTTCATGTGCTTACCTGTGATCAGATGGTTTCTTGAGTATTTGTCTAGGATAAATGGCATTTTTTGGCATATGCATCCTGTAAAGAAAAAGATATATAAAACCATGGTAATGTTTTAAGATAAGCATAGTTTTCATCATTCATGGTGTGTATGTACATTGTCATCACATTGTACGTCTTAAAAAAATTCATGGTGTACAACCTAAAAAAAAGATAAACACAGTTTTGATCTGCCCTTAAATAGAGAACTAACATGAAAACACATGGAAAGTAGGACTTGATCAGGCGCCAGAATGCAGTGTCTTTGGAGAAGCAGTGTAAACTTTGAGGTTTTACCAGAGTCAGGCCTCCAGTCTTCCCATGTTTCAGACAGCCACTGTGAGTGCCCAGGTTACCCTGGTTTGGCTGGCTTTGGTCTAAACATTTGGGTTTAATTTCTTGTAAGCCTAATGGCATCTTCACAGGCTGTGTGGTTTTGTCCTCAGCTTCTTCCAGACCAGCTGGTCTTGCTTCTGGAGCATCTCTTGGAGCAGAAGACTGTGACTCCGCGAACTCTGCAAAGCCTTGAGAGGACGTACCACCTCTCGGAGCAGGATGCCGAGGTAACAGGAACACCCTCAGAGTTTAAACCATGGGCCTCACTGCTGGTGAACTTTAAACCCTCACTGCTGGTGAAGATTGGTGGTCCCAGTGTGTCCCGGACTATGGGAACTGCTTCCCTGGTTGTGTGTGCTCCAGTAGGGGCCTCTGATCCTGGTCATTACCACCGTATTTTTAAGTCCTGAGTGTTGCCCCTTTCCTCTTAAATTGTTAAGACAGACATAAGTCTCCTAAAGGAATGAGCAGACGGATGGAAGCTTTCTGAATTTTGAACTCGGGTGCATCATCGTGTGCATGATGGTGGCGCCATCCTGTTGCACATTAAGGAAACTTGGCTCAGACGTGCCAGAGCTTCTTGGTTGCATTCAGTTAGGACAGGAAGGGAGCCATGTGTAAAGGAAATGAAAACTAAATCTTAACAGCCGTGGTTTGAAAAGCAAAATTGGATGCTTGTGGGAAAGCAATATGCTGTGGTCCTTAATATCTTTTAGCTTATTATGAAGAATGCAATGTGAATCCTAAGATGAGTTCCAGGGTTTTTTTTTTTAATATATAAAATAATAATGTATTTAGTCATCTTAAGTTAAAACACACACACACACACAGAAAAATTCTCTTATATAAAACTCTTAAAAAAACAAACAGATTTGATTTGTGTTCATTTGAGAATAAATGAACATTTGAAAGCTGTGCAGACCAATATAGTAGCCATTAGCCCATGTAGCTGTTGAGCAAGCACTTGATATGTGGCTTTTGGGCTGTAAGTGTGAAATATGTGGGTACTGGAGACATAGTATCAAGAGAAGCAGAATGTCCCAGTAATTTCTTCTCATTGATTACTGTGTCAGAATGATATTTTGGACATGTTGGATTAAAAAAAATATTATTAAAATTATTTTCACAATTCTTAAGATGGAGTAAGTCAAGAAAAGCCTTCTCATTATTAGATTAAAAGGTAAGATCGGCATTTGTTATACATTTTAAAACCCTCACATAAATTCAGGAGTTAATTGAAAAACTCCAGAGGAACATATGTAGCTTTTTATCCATCTCAGCATAGATCAAACATGCAACTGTTGCTGTTTATTTCAGCTCTTATATTTTTGTTTATAGGAGATTCCAAATGCCAGCCTGTTATTTTTAATTAGTGTTTAAAAGAGGTTTCTATTTATAGGCATGAGGTTATGCTTTAATCAGGACTGAATACCACTGAAATGCCAGGCCCCAGTGACGGGCAGTGGGCAGACGAAGGCGGGAAGATCAAAGCAGGTGCCGGGCACCTGTCACTCCTCACCAGAAGCTGGGAGGTGGGAGGCCCTGTTTTCCCCAATTCATGTTGGCATAAACATAAAGCACACTGTGTTCTTAACTTACAGATCAACTTTGTTGTTATATGTAACTTCTTAAACCTTTGAGAAATATAGCCGGTTTTATTTTGCCTGCTTATTTTGTGTCTCAGACTGAAGTGTGATGTCCAAAGCCAAAGCAGTGTCTTCAGGCTTGACTCTTTGGTGTTGAGAGACTGGAGCCTGGGGGAGGCTTTGATTGGTTTAAGTAACTGGTGTGGTCCATGCAATTCACAGATCCTCACTCTGCCAGGCACAAGGGATATAGCAATGGCAAGGGTCACCCTCAACAGGTTGGGATTCTTTGGAAAAACAGCTCATGAGTAAATGAACAGGATAGTTTGATATAGAGCTACAAAGGAGGTTACCGGTGAAAGTGAGCTCAGTGTCTCTGGATAGAGTTCAGGAAAGGCCACAAGAAAAGGTGACAGTCAAGCCAAGACCTAGGGGCAAGAAGGAGTTAGCCATACAAAGCCAGGGGTCCAGGAGTGATTTCCATACAGAGCTGACAGCATGCAAAGGCGTGAACATGACATATGCTAGGATAGGGGTCAGCAAACTTTTTCTGTAAAGGAGCAGATTTTGGTATTTCAGGCTATACAGTTTCTGTCACAACTATTTAGCTTTGCTGTTAACAGCTGCCATAGTATGTCAGCAAACAGAAATGCTGTGTTTCAGTAAAGTTGTTTATGGACGCTGAAACTTGAATTTCATATAATTACCACATCTCAAGATAATTCTTTTTGTTACTGTTCCTTTTCAAAGCTATTCTAAAACATCCACAGCACTCTTAGCTGTGGGCTAGTTTGGCCTGCCCCATCCTGAAATTTGTTGACCCCTGCCCTGGGGCCAGTAGGACTGAGGTCAGGGGTGAATAGGGCCCGGATTAGGGCTGTGGGGCCCTGAGGCCTAACATACCACTGCCTTGCCCCCTTCCCAGGCCCTCTGGGGCCCTGGCATCTAGTCAGTTACACTGACAGCATGTCTCACTGTGAGGTTTCCTTGAAATGTCACTCAGAACCAGGAAAGCAATAGGATATTGGCCAACCAGGGTGTTTTCTAGAAACTTCATTAGTTACGTGTGATTTATGGTGACACTGATTAGCAGGAATTTTGTTGACTAACCATCTGCCTTTACTTTAAGTGACAGGACATTTCATGGGAGAAGGAATTATTTGCTGGAAGAATGAGGATTCTGACTTTATTCTTGGTGCTTCTTCTTGACCAAACATGTAGCTCCTTTCAGTCATTATCAGGGCTTTTAAATGTGTAATACACAGAAGTCACTCAAAACGTGGCTGAAGATGCTGGAGTGTGGTACGTTGTGTGCGGAGCATCCCTATGGGAAATGGCTCCAAAGGTAATTTCCTGGCAAGGAAGCATGTGAGTTATGGAGCTGACACTCTTTGTTCAGGGCGCTGCCACAGGCCCTGTGACCATGATGCTGAATTAGGTGTCTGTGCAGAAGACTTCAGCCCAGGGTGGCCGGGGTGGGGTTGGGGGATGTCTAGCGCAGAATCAGGGCGTGCTCATGACAGCAGCGGTTTTGCTCACATTTCCAGGAGGTACATAAAGCGCACCACCTCTCCTGCCACTCCCCCTTGGACTAGCATTTCTCCTGAAAGCATAGATGTGAGGTCGCTTTTTGAGGTGAGCCTGCTCTTTCCATAGCGCATTTAATCCCCTGCTTGCCCAGCGCCGCGAAGCGCTCCCCTTGGCGGAGCAGCGCGTCCTTGACGGGCCAGACGTCTCTTGTGTGAGAAGCTGCCGTGCACCACTCCCTCTGTTCAGTAGCTGCTTTCTCTCCTTTGCTGTCACGCCCACTTGTCCCTTCCCTCCCCGCTTCTTTGTGTGGGTGGGCTGGTGCTGTCTCCCCGGGAAGTTTATTTTAGTGATGATCCTTGTGTCGCTCAGTATCTGTATTGATTGCGTTGCTTCTGTGTTTCGGTTGTATTCACAGAATGTCCAGTCTGTTGGTCAGGATTTCTGAGTGTGGCAGCCAGGTTGATGCTCTTTGCCAGCTGTTGGCTTGTCAGAGGCACACTTATCCATGTTACGTGCCTCCTGTCCGCCGTGTGCTGTGTCACGTAGTGTGAGTACACGGGTCTGCCCTGCGGGGAGGTACACGTGTGTTCAGAATCTTAAAAGGAGACGTGCATGAGGGCACGTGTAATAAGCCGGGTACGGTGACGTGTGCCTTGCCTTGACACTCTTGTTGCCGCCCTCTGAAAAGTGGGGCATTTGTGGGGGGACGTTTGCATTCCTTAGCCTAGAAAGTAGTACTGGCTACAGGAGTAGTTACTGTATTTTACCTCCTCAATCAAAGAAACCTCTAGCCATATGCTGGGCTGCTTTAAACTAGGTCAGAAAAATGAACTGAAAGGGAAACTTAGTTCATAGAAATGCATTGTCTATAGTTCCTGAGCATATTGGTTTAAACAAAAAACCCATAAAGGTTTTTTTTTTTTTAAACAACAATCAAGTTTTTGTGTTTTTAGATAATGTTATTTATTTCTGGTTGTGCCGGGTCTTCGTTGCTGCGGGGGCTTTCTCTAGTTGCAGCGAGCGGGGGCTGCTCTCCAGCTGTGGTGCGTGGGCTTCTCTTTGCGGCGGCTTCTCACTGTGGAGCATGGACTCCAGGGTGCGCAGGCTTCAGGAGCTGCAGCTCCCAGGCTCTAGAGCACAGGCTCAGCAGTTTGTGGCGCACAGACTTAGTTATGGTTCTGTGGGATCCCAGATCCGGGATCAGACCCATGTCTCCTGCATTGGCAGGTGGATTCTTTACCACTGAGCCACCAGGGAAGCCCCATAAAGGTTTTAAAATACACAACTGATTCTTGAAACAAAAGGTATTTTCTAAGATCCCTTTTAAAATAATTTCCTGCCTGCTTTAGCAGGTCTCCTCAGCTGTTAAAAATAGCCTTTCCATGTTAACAAGGTGAGGCTCCATGTACCTTGGTTCTGTGTGACCTTTGTCCCCAAGAGCCCCACAGCTGACCTTGAAGCAACTTTATTTCCATAGTCTACAGTTCAACACTTCAAAACTGGGGCACCCCTCGGATGAGTTTTCAGAAAATTCAGAAACAGCCATTCACTATTTCATCTGGCTTGGATGGGAGTGGTGGGGTGTTAGAAAGTTCCCCCACAGTACCATGCTCAGCTCTGATGTATCATTTATAGGCTGAGCTAGAAAATTAATTTTCTGGGAGAGGTCATTATCAGCACCAGGTCTTCCCCTTTGTATTTGGGGAAACACTGTTTGTTGAAAGGAAAAGGCCCCCTGAGTTAGGTTGGGGTGGGAAGGAATGAGCACCGTATCTCCATCTGCCCCTGGCCCCAACCTGTGTTCAGGGGTACCACTCTCCCAGATCTGTACCTGCTACTGGCAGAGACATCTTAGCAACAAGCTGAATGTGGCCACAGGTCCCCGAATGGCTGGTGGCCACCTGCAAATCACCCATCCTCCTGGGCCCCTTTTTCCTAATCTGCACAGCAGTACCCGGACTAGTCTGCTGGCTGTCAGCCTTTTTGACCACAACTAACTGGCAAAAAAGGGCTTCACAGAACTACTTTTATGTTTGCTATTATTTCTTGTTTCATTTTCTTTAAACATGTGCATTGTGATGCACAGATTGATTCTGTGACCCACTAATGCC